ACAGACAGACAATCACAGACACAGACAGACGATCACAGACACAGACAGAGGATCACAGACAGACAATCACAGACACAGACAGACAATCGCAGACACAGACAGACGATCACAGACAGAGGATCACAGACACAGACAGAGGATCACAGACAGAGGATCACAGATAAGACGATCACAGACAGAGGATCACAGACACAGACAGACGATCACAGACAGAGGATCACAGACACAGACAGACAATCACAGACACAGACAGACAGTCACAGACAGAGGATCACAGATAAGACGATCACAGACAGAGGATCACAGACACAGACAGACGATCACAGACAGAGGATCACAGACACAGACAGACAATCACAGACACAGACAGACGGTCACAGACAGAGGATCACAGACACAGACAGACAATCACAGACACAGACAGACGGTCACAGACAGAGGATCACAGACACAGACAGACAATCACAGACACAGACAGACGATCACAGACAGAGGATCACAGACACAGACAGACAATCACAGACACAGACAGACGATCACAGACAGAGGATCACAGACACAGACAGACAATCACAGACAGATGATTACAAACAAAAACAGAGGATCACAGACACAGACAGACGATCACAGACTGGGGTTTCCTGGTGCAGCCACACGATGGTCCGCTTCACTCACTGCTCACATTCTGCATTTTTCCGCCCACTACAAACTCAGATATAAAAAGCCTCGGCCTGTCACTGACTCTGCCACACGTTTAAATCTGGAGCCAAGTCTGGTCTTACCATGTGTAAACTCTGATCCATGGTCATCTCCTACATGTATGTCTGGTCTTACCATGTGTAAACTCTGGTCCATGGTCATTTCCTACATGTACGTCTGGTCTTACCATGTGTAAACTCTGGTCCATGGTCATTTCCTACATGTACGTCTGGTCTTACCATGTGTAAACTCTGGTCCATGATCATCTCCTACATGTACGTCTGGTCTTACCATGTGTAAACTCTGGTCCATGGTCATTTCCTACATGTACGTCTGGTCTTACCATGTGTAAACTCTGGACCATGGTCATTTCCTACATGTACGTCTGGTCTTACCATGTGTAAACTCTGGTCCATGGTCATTTCCTACATGTACGTCTGGTCTTACCATGTGTAAACTCTGGTCCATGGTCATTTCCTACATGTACGTCTGGTCTTACCATGTGTAAACTCTGGTCCATGGTCATTTCCTACATGTACGTCTGGGTCTGATCCTAGTGGCTGCAGTTTCCTCGGTTGAATCTCCTCCGACCAATCAGAGAGCGGGGGAGGCGGGTGTTGTAGGTCGGTGTCGGTGACGTCAGAGTTTGTGCTGAATTTGCTGGTTGTAGTTTGTCGGAGAATGCGATAGTAAAATAATCTGTTCTGGTTTAATCCAAATATCAAGAAACTGAAGCCGGAGCAAGAGGAATGTTTAGTAAATGTCATTGAAGAAGATGTTGTGGCTCTACTCCTCTGCTCTCTTTATACTTTCATCTGTGACGTCCTAAATCACATCAGCAGTCGTCTCAGAAGGACAAAGTTGCAGATTCCTCAACATAAGATCAGAGAAACACAAGCAACAATAACAAACACATTGGAGCCATTGGTCCAGAAATGTCAATATTTGTAAAGATATTGACAGGAGGAAAAGCTTTACAAGAAAGTTACATAGCAAGAAGGTCCTGGGGTCAAATCCCGGTCGGAACAGGGCGTTTCTGAGTGGAGTTTGCATGTTCTCCCTGTGTCTGCGTAGGTTTCCTCCGGGTGCTTCGGTTTCCCCCACCACTACAAACATGTACAACAGGTCTGTGCCTCCTGTACTGGCCCCGCCCATCTCTGTGTGGAGTGACAGACTAATGTCCACAAGTGTAAACCGCTTTGACCCTGGTCTGTGAAAGGCGGTAAATAAATAATGATTACTTACTTACTTAAGTTAGGGTAACTCATTTAAGTAAATAAGTAAACTTTATTTATATAGCACCCTTCACAAACCAGAGTCACAAAGCGCTTCACATAGTATAAACACATAGTATATACACATTTTTAAAGGCCAAGACAACCATGTAAAAACAGCAAGACAAAATTATGCAAAAGCCTGAACAAATAATGTGCTTTAAGTTGACTTTTGAAGCACTCTACAGACTCTATAGAACGCAGAGAGAGCGGGAGAACGTTCCAAAGCTTGGGAGCAACAGCCTGGAAGGACCTGTCTCCTCTGGTCCTGAAGCAAGTGCGTGGAACCATCAGGAGGTTCTGATCCACAGACCTCAGAGCCCTGGCTGGGGTGTAAGGCTGGAGGTCACTGATGTAAGACGGAGCCTGACTGTGCAAAGCTCTGAAGCTTAAAACCAGAATTTTAAAATGTATCCTGTAGGACACTGGCAGCCAATGAAGAGCTTTAAGGACAGGGGTGATGTGCTCCTCCTGCCTGTGCGGGTCAGGATTCTCTTATATAGCACAGTTCGTCTACAAGGCAACTCAGAGTGCTGAACAAAACATGATAGAAACAGGATCAGAACCTTAACCCTAAGACATAAATATTCACAGTATACAAAAGTCTACAATAAAATCTATCCAGCTCGTTCCTTCACTAGTCTAGACTTTTTGGCCTCCGTCACAACTTTTCAGGCAGAATTGTGGACCGCCCTGGAGCAGTCTCTCAGCTCTCATCCCAAACCATGAAGTATGCCACAGATAACATGCTTCTAACACGACAAGGACCGCACGGTGTGGTCTGATTCGTCTCGTTTCAAATACAGTACATGCTGAATATATTTGGAATCCGCGGGGAATGAACTGGTCCGATGTCTCTCCGTTGACAACCTTCGCCGCGGGGCGTGTCGCGGCCGACGGCGGCAGCAGCAGCAGCTCCTGTATCTCTCCCCAAAATCCAAAGTAACATATGTTTTTTATAACCGCGAGCTGCCTTTTACAACACGCCAGACCAGAATATATCGGAGCAGCTACAGCTCGGGCAGCGAAGCCAAAATGACCCAGGGCTAAAAGCGATTCCATATGACAGATATGAAAGAGCAGGAGGCTGGAGAGTTATGCCTCAAAGACCAGGATCATTATACAGAAGTCAAAACACACCACAAGCAACGGAAAGGGAACTATATGTGTCTCCTGCTGTCAGACGCTGAAACGTAAAGGACGGAGGCGAGGCAGGCTGGATACACGGAGCCACTCGGTTAAAAGGCATTTTACTTTTAGTTTTAGGCTTTCAACATTTCTTCTCAGACACAGACTGGACCTTTTATTTACTATGGAGCTGTAAAAGTATTGCTGCAAACACGTACAGATGTATATACGCACAACTGTCTTGCTCTAGAATACACAGGATTTACTTCTTTATTTTGCTGAAGTTAGAGATTTGATGTTATTTGTTCATTTATCTTGCTGTGAGCTCCTACTTACTACTGTTCCTACATTGTAAGAAGGAAATATTATGGATGAAATTTCAAAAAGGGCTGTAATGAATTATATGGAAGGATTTGTTGAATTTATTATATATGTGAATGACGCTAAAAAAACATCACAAACATGTATTTTTAAAAGTGTAATTCAAAGCTGGATAATAATAATAATAACAATAATAATGCATTGATGTTAAACTTAAAGCTTTTCTGGACTCTCATCTATAATCATGTCATTATTCTTTCTCTCCAAACACGGTGGGGATAAACTACAGTAGCCACAGCTGCCCTGGGGCACACTGACAGAAGCGAGGCAACCAGTCTGTGCCATCGGCCCCTCCCACCACCACAGACCATTCACACACACACCAGACTCTAATGTGGGGGAAGTGTCTTTGCAGCCGCCCCACTGTGGCACCTGGTGTTCCCCGCTGTCTCCCATCACAGTATTAACCAGGCCCTGCTCTGCTTAGCTTCAGAGGTCTGACAGGATCTGGCTTTCGCATGCAAGTATGTTCAACTCCAGTACAAAATCATATAAGGTTCTGTCCTGGATCCTCACAGTCCTCAGACCCTCCTGCATCGACAAAGAACCACTTTGAAACTAAATCCAGTGGGAAAAGTCAGAAACCTCCAGGTGGCCCACATTGAGAGAGGGATGCGCTTTTTTCATTTAAAAGAATAAAAAGAAAAGAAAAACGGGGCGGCATGTCGGCTGAGTGGTTAGCCCTCTCGCCTCTTTGCAAGAAGGTCCTGGGTTTCAAATCCCGATCGGAACAGGGCCTTTCTGAGTGGAGTTTGCATGTTCTCCCCGTGTCTTCGTATGTTTCCTCAGGGTGCTCCGGTTTCCCCTACCACCAAAAACGTTCACATTAGGTAAAATCCTCCAGCTCCTGATAGTCCTGACCAAGCCGAGCATCAACATCTGGAGATGGGATCCCGGGTGCTGTTGCTACGGCGACCACTGCTCCTGACGTAAGCCTTAGCGGCATCAGGATGGGTCAAATGCAGAAGATCTATCGCCCTACGGGGATCGATAAAGCGCATTTTTAGAGCTAACTCAGTTTCTTTTTGCTTTATGGAGTAACCCAAAATACTCAGAATACTTGTCATCGTCTGCAGCACGACTCGGCCGTTCAGTCTCTCCCCAGATCTCATTTCAGGGTCACAAAAGCCTCTGTCACTCACTCTGGAGAGTCATCGATTCACTCCTCTCTCTCATCACAGACTTTTGAGTGTTTTTCTCTTCTTCTTTGGAACCTGCAAAACCCCGACGCCAATCCGTCCAAATTGTTTTCGTATGCAGCATCAGATAGGCAGCGTCTGGGCTTTTGTTCGCCATTACGTTTTAATAAGGCGGACGCGACTGGAAAATAAATAATCAAGGACCTCGCTGACTCGGCTGCTTTGTGAATGAATCAATGAACTATTAGAGCTCGGTGCCGGCCGTGAAAACGCACAGGTCTCGCTCTGGGATTTAGAGACGGGGGAGGTCAGAGAGACGGCGGCTCGGAGTTGTCAGTCTCTGGAAGATGGTCGAGTCTCTTTCAGGCTTTTGTTCCTAATGGCGCCATACGTCAAGACGCACATAACTGTCAGCGAGAAGCCGGTTAGAGTGTCGCCGCTGTTGCATCACGGCGTCTTGTATGTGTGAGGCGGCAGGAGAGAAGAGAGAGGGCAAAGACTACTGCAGATTCTGAGGTATGAAATGTGTGTGACGGAGGTGAGTGGCAGCAGGAAGAACGTTTTTCTGTCATGAATAATGCATTTGTCGGTTGGTTTGAATGAGTCTTGCAACAGACCACATCCTGCTGTTTTATCTCAATAGAAAACATGTATTTTTGGGTAAGAAAGAGCCCTGTGAGTTCAATTTTTATTTTTTTATTTAACCTTTATTCAACCAGGAACAATCCCATTGAGATCAAGAACCTCTTTTTCAAGGGAGTCCAGGCCAAGAGGCAGCAAAGTTACCCATAAACTCAACAGACAGATACATTATAGTATATAGCCCTAAATCACAGCAGTGGTTAGAGCAGAGGACTTTACAAAGCTGTGGATTCGCCAACACAGATCAGAGAATCAGGATATGAGATGATAAAAAACACATAGAGCCATTGGTCCATAAGGGACAGCGACTAATGTCCATAAATGTTTATAAATGTTGTTGAATGTGGAGTGTCCTGGATCATCACCACTGTCCTTAGACCCTCCTCCATCAGCAAGAAACAACTCTAAGATAAGATTGTATATTGTATGTTAGTTTGTATATGGCATTGACTAGTATTTATACAGTATATATATTTTTTTTCATGCACTTGCCCAATCAGAAGAGTTTTGCATGAAGCCCCTGAGCACTCCAAGCCTCTCCCTCTTCTAACTCTAAGGTAAGATTCAATCAATTCAATTCAAATAACTTCATTTGCAGACGGAGCACCTGTGGGGATACATAAAAACACATGATATAAAATACATAAAATAGATGCTAATCCGCTGTTTAAAAGGAGGATTGAGCTGGAGATTGAAGATAAAGCCACGTTTTTGATACATTTTTGAAGACGTCCTCCAAACGCTCGCACACAAACCGACTTTAGCCAAGAACGCACTTACGGAAGAGTCTGCAGCTTCACTTTTAGCTTCAAGTTCAGCTTCGTAATGTCACTTTTACCTGTGTCGTATTCATCAAATCCATCTGACTTTGTATCAGATTCTTTGTCCTCTTTGTTGTTTGCACCATGAACGCCATAACACCGTGACAATACCATTTGTAATCTGACTTGATAACCCGGCTCCATAAAGAACCGATATTAGCCCGGGCCAGATGCCACACACTTATTAGCACCATATGGCCCCATGCATCACGCCACCTGTAATTATGCTATTAAAACCAACCACCTCCAGCCCACCCTCTAATGGAGCCCGCAGCCTCAGAGGTGATCCGTCTTGTGTCCACTCTATGACGGGAACTCAATCAACAGCCGTATGGACTTTTGAAAGGTGTTTGAAATGCCTGGACTCACGGGTCCTTGGGTATTGGCGTTTCATTCATTCTAATGGTGGAAAGTGTAACGGTAGATGTTTGAGTATCTAGTTCAATGTATTTGTGTAGCCCTAGATCACAGCATCAGTATCTGGGAGGACTTTATAAAACTGTGGAATTCGCCAACAACAGATTAGAGAATCAAATCGTTCAAACACTGTTGGTCCATAGGGGGCAGATGACCGCTGTCCAGAAATGTTTGTTAGTTGTTAGTAAATTGCTCGCTATGAACCAATGGCTCTTACTGTATGTGTTGTGATTGCATTCCCTGTGTCCCGACTGCTTGATTCTCTGATCTGTTGTTGGTGAATCAGCAACTTTGTAAAGTCCCTCGAGGCGACTGCTGCGATGATCCAGGGCGATTCCAAATTGACATTGAATTGAATAATGAATGTAATTTAAATAATTTCTAGTATAGTTTCAGCCTCTCCTTACTTTTGCTCTTCTAATTTACGTTTAGATGTATTATTATTATTAATTTTATCGGGCTGCGCTATCCTTAAGCTACCACCAAAGGAAGGTGGAAGGTTTTTTTTTTTTTTTTTTTCATAGCAACCACTGCTGTGTGACTGTAGGGGGCAGCGTTCTCCAAACTTTTTAGTGCCACAGACCGGTTAAATGCTCGGGAACTCACTCCCCTCTGACCTCCGCAACACTGACTCTCTTCCCCTCGTCAAATCCAGATCTAAAACTTTCCTTTTCTTTCCCCACGCGACCGGTCACACGCCCAGTCACACGACCAGTCACATGACCAGTCACATGACCAGTCACACGACCAGTCACACGACCAGTCACACGCCCAGTCACATGACCAGTCACACGACCAGTCACACGACCAGTCACACGCCCAGTCACACGCCCAGTCACACGCCCAGTCACACGACCAGTCACATGACCAGTCACATGACCAGTCACACGACCAGTCACATGACCAGTCACATGACCAGTCACACGACCAGTCACACGCCCAGTCACACGACCAGTCACATGACCAGTCACATGACCAGTCACACGCCCAGTCACATGA